GGTTCTTAGAGAGGCAGATTGGGACCAGAGAATGAAGGGTCTCAAAAATCAAGTTAGGTTTGAGAGGAGAGGCACTGAGAATATGAGAATGAAATCAGACAATTCTTGGGCTGGAAAAACTTGCCCAATCTCTAGGATCATCATCTCCTTTTTGCTTTCATTGCATTCAATAGATCCTGACAGGATTGTCTGCCTTTTTGAAAATAACTCTTTTTCTTAAATAACATCCCCTTCTTAGGACCGGATCTGAAGAGGCCTGGGCCCCCAATCTTTTCTAAGGATGCTTTCCTCTGACTAGTGGTTGGACAGCCCAAGCCAACCTTCCACAGTTGGGAAAGGGCTGTGAGCTGGGGCATGTGAATGACAACTCTCTCTGGAACAGTGGGTGAGGCAGGGGGAAGTCAAAGAATCAGAGTTGGGAGGCGAGAACTAGAGAGGGGACAGAGAAGGCAGAGAGTGAAGCAGCTTGGGGAAGAAAGCCTCCCTGGCAGGTGGCTCCATTTGATTTCTGATTTAAAGGGGGAGGCTTAGATAGCCAAGAAGAAAAAGGCTAATAAGAAAAATATTAAACTGCAGTGTGTGTTTCCCCAGGGACTTCCTGTTGCCATGACTGACCTCCTGGAGAGCGCCATTCGTTCCCGAGCATGGCAGCTTTATAGGCACTTGTAGGCCTGCAAAGAACACCAATTTGCTGCTGCAGTTTGTTTTGATAACTGAAACTTTCAATAAATCTATATTAAAATCAAAGGGAAAATTAACTAGGCCCTAGTGAGGGGCACAGAGATAAGGGAGCACATTACCACCCTGGCCTCAGCCACCCCACATCCGTCTCTTAGTTCAGATTCAGGTCACTAGGGAGATGAATGGCTCAGGCTCATGGGGAACAGCCCTGGGGAGAGCAGGGAGAAGAAGGCATGGCCAGGTCCAGCCCTCACTGCTCCTGGAGAAGCAGAGAAGTCTGTGGGAATAGGATGGGGGGTGAGGAGGTGGGGTGATGGTGGGAAGAACTGGAGAGAGGGATGGGAGAGGGGCAAAGATAACAGAAATAGCCAATATTTACTGAACTCCAGATACTGTGCTAAGCACCTTGGTATTTAATTCTAACTACAAGTAGGAACTAGTATTATCTCTACTCTATAGATGAAGAAACTGAGCCTCAGAGAGGCATATGACTCACCTAAGGTCACAGACTGAGCCAGGACTCAAACCTGAACAGGCTCTCTCTGGGCTCACATTCCTGGTAACTGCACTATGCTGTCTTTTGTAGCTAACAGAGACTGTGAATGGCAGAAGCCGTTTTTTCCAGTTCTCAGGTAAGAACGGTTCAGAACTAGTTTGGGTTCTCCCGGCTGTGTCAAGTTTGGGGGCTGCCATGTGCTGTCGTTGGGTCCTGGGTTCTCTGCCCTTTGATTGCTGATTAAGGTCCCAGCTTTGATGGTCATCTTGCTGTTCTTCCTGGTGGTTTGAAAGGGCAGTAGAAGAACCAACTTGGTCCTCTTTTTGGTCCCTGTTCTCAGTGTTCACTTTAGCTCAGTCACTTAAACCAGCAGCCAAGAGGCTGCCCAGGGTATAACTATGTCTGGGTATTGGGTTCAGCTCATCTGCCTCCAAAAATTCACTTGCCCTGTCTCCACCCCCAACCTTGGGTCTTGGCCACTTACTCTTTGGATAGCCCAGCTGCCACTACTGTCACTCATTTACTAACACATCTGGTTGTCTTAGCCTCCTCTGGGAGGAGGATTAGGTTTTGACAGAGCCTCCAATGTACCCACTGTGGCAGGACTACAATGAAGCTCATTTGACCAGAGGCTGTGTATGACTCCTCTCACCATTTCTAGCCGCAGATGAACCACTGTGTTTTAGGGTGTGGGATCTGACACCCCCTGCGGCTACCTGAGTGGTGGGATGATACAACCCTCTCTCTCTGTCTGAGAAGTGATGGTTCTACATGGCCTGAATGACAAGGCAACTACCTGTGTCTTCTTTGAAGCTCTGGTCAACTTCATACTACCTATATTTTCTTCCCCTCCTTCCCTGCCTCACTTCCCTTTTCCCTCTCACTCTTGCTGCCCTGAGATTATACTTCCTAATGAAGTCTTACCACATAAGCTTCGCTTCAGGCTCTGCTTTCTAGAAAACCAGAAAACAGAGAAAATCACAATAGTGTCAAAGGCTTGATGGAGCCAAATGCTGGGTTAGCGGCAATATAAGGCACCAAGCACAGAGTGAGCTTTTAAACTGTTCTATTATTTGAATGTATGTCGCCTGGTCTTTGTCTAAAAAGAGCTTACAGTCTGCTGAAGTCCTAGAAGCTATACAATTGAGCTCTAGAGCACAAAGGAGGAAAAAGCACATTCTGGGGGAAATCAAGGGGGTCATGGAAAGTTCCATGGAGAAAACTGGGACTGGGCTTTAAAGAGAATCTCCAACCCAGATAGTGCAGGTTTACTTCATTCTTACAGACAAGAAGGTTGGCTGTGCCCTATTCTCAGGCCAGACTCAGGATATAATAAAGCCAGAGACAGGAGAGGCTACCTCAGGGCCTTTTATTTGTCTAATTTTATTTATCTACGTACTTACTTATTTATTGTCTGTTTTTCCTCATCCTTCTCCTCTCCAATATAAAAGCTCCACGAGAATACAGGTTTTATATGTATTATTCACCAATTAATCCTCAGCAACAGAAACAGTGCCTGAAACTTAGGAGAGGCCCTATAAATATACTAGTATGTTGACTTACTGATCAACTGGGATTAATATTTAGATGACATTAATGGAGGCGGAAGACCCAATTCCAGCTCCAAGAATCAGGGGATATAGGCAGATGTGCTTCCACTTTACTGACCTAGAGTTAAGTGACATCTATCCCTGCTGATGTCTATTCACCTCATTTGTCCACAAACATTTATTGAGTGCCTGCTTCTGCCTGGCACTGTGCTGGATATTACTGATACAGCTTGAATAATATGGAAATAATGCTTACCTTAAGGGAGTTTACACTCCTGGGGGAGAGACAAAAAGGAGATAGACAATTAGAAAACAATGTGATGAATTGAATAGGTGCAGAGCAGAATAACCTAAGCCATTACATGGGATTAAGAAAGGTATTCCCAGCCCTAACCGGTTTGGCTCAGTGGATAGAGTGTCAGCCTTCAGATTGAAGGGTCCCAGGTTTGGTTCCTGTCAGGGGCATGAACCTTGGTTGCGGGCACATCCCCAGTGGGTGGTGTGCAGGAGGCAGCTGATCCATGTTTCTCTCTCATCGATGTTTCTAGCTCTCTATCCCTCTCCCTTCCTCTTTGTAAAAAAAAAAATCAATAAAATATTTTTTAAAAAAATAAAAAAGAAAGGTATTCCCAGCTCAAGTGGCAACCATTATGTAAAGGTCAGATCTGAGGTGGCAGGGCCCAGAAATGACATGATTTCTCCTTAGTGGAAATATGCAGACAGCAGACAGAGGGCCTGGTGACTGAAGCCTGTGTGGGCGGCTGTCAAAGCCATCACTGGCTTGGTCCAGGCGGGGGTCGCCCAGCTCAGACCTGGTCCCTTGACCGCCCAGGGAGCCATAACCCGGATGGAGAAACACAGCTCTGGCTTTGGCCAGCGTTCTCTCCAGCTGACGGAAGAGCCTGGCTGAGGCTGACTACGGAAACTCTTCACTGTTGCGGCCGGGATCCTTTTAACCTGTAAGTTCCCTCTGGAGCCCACCTGAACGAGTTACTGCCCTCTTCCTTAGAAAGGCCCCTGAGAAAGCTTAGAAAAAAACACTAAGCATTTTCTTCTTAGCCTAAACACCCCTCTTCTTGGCTCTCCCTCCGCCCCCGGCCCACCACAGAGAGTGAATGCTAAGGACCTGTGGAATGAACAAATCATGAGAAGTTGTCACCTAAATACAACGTCACCTTATGAGCCTGTACTCACCTTGTAGAATATGGTTTAAGTTGGGAAAACGAAAGTGGACCTTGGGTCGCTCTAGGCCTTAGAAAGTTTTTGTGTTTTTTTGTATGTGTTTTTAAATTTCTTTCACAGTCGAAAACGAGGCCCCCCTTCACTGTCTTATGAGTACTCGCCACCTCAAAACTACAAGTCCCATAAAGCCGGCCTCCGGGAATCTCCATCTTGACATCCCTTAGCGCGCATGTCGGCGGGAGAGTTAACATTTGGGGAGAAGAAGCCCCGCCCACCTGCACCCCATTGGTCGAAGGAGCCGGTGGCGGGCTCAGCGATTGGCCACTGCGCCCGCCCGTCCACCACGTCGGCCGGGGTCAGAGTGCGCGGAGGTGAGTCGGTGTGTTGTGGACTCGTGGTGCTGGCTGCTGCTTTTGAGGCGGCCGGGATCGGGCGGTGGGGAGCGAGCGGAGCTGGCCCTGCCTCTGTCCGGCCGGCGCCGCAGTCGGCGCGGGCCGCGCCCGCTGCCGTAAACTGCCCTGAGCGCCTGCTGGGGCCGAGGGAGACGTCGGGGCCTGCACCTGGAGGGAGCCTGCCGCGCTGGCCCCAAGGAGCGGGCGTTGCCATGGCGACAGCCTCTCCTGCTGCTGACGGGGGGCGGGGGCGGCCCTGGGAAGGAGGACTGGTCTCCTGGCCCCCTGCCCCTCCCCTTACTCTCCCCTGGACTTGGATGGGCCCGAGTTGGGGGCAACACCCTGGGGTGGGTGATGCGGAGAGGCTCCCCAGAGTGGGCCCTGGTTGATGCATGTGGGGTGAGAGGGTCGCGGCACGCACAGTTTGTGCAGCTTGGGTGCTGGCCCATGTGCTCACCCTGGATGCGTGATCTACTGAGTAATGGTCAGGCGGAGAGGGCGTGGGGCAGGGCTCTGCAAGACAGACGGGTGGGGTGACTAAGGGTACTGACTTCTTACATGGCATTACCAGGGAGGAGGAAGAGAGGTTTGATCAGAGAGGATAGAAATCCAGGAAGGGGATAGCAGATAGAACATTCCTTTTCCCCCTCCCCAACATCCACACAGACACATAAGGTTAGTTTACCTCTTTGTAAATCTGTAGCGGTGGTAGTAGTGATGGTGGAAGGAGTGAATAAGGGGCCTAACTGGGCTAGCTTTCTGTTTGTTTTTCCTGCAAATGTTACAGCAACAGGTGCTGTCTTAAAACAAAAAAGCGTGAACTAGGATTGGGGCTTGACTTGGAGTTCTTGCAAAATATAACTGCTCCTGTTGACTTGGAAGATGCTGAATGTGGCCCCTCATTGGGGGAGGGAGGGTTGGATTCTGTCCTTCGGGCTGGATTTTGCAAATTGATGGTGTCTATCATTGCCTCTACTATAGTTGTCTGGCATTAGCTCTTGTCAGACATTTTACCAGTCTCCCAGCCGAAGGGCAAAAAAACACGAATCCTATTGGCCAAAGACTATGCACTATTTGAACTATAGTAGGTTGTGATTGGCTGAATGATTTTTGATTGTAGAGTTTGCACCAGAAATTGGCTTCATCAAATTCTGCTTTATTCTGACTTTATCATACACACAGGCCTTGTTTTAGTGGGTCGTGCCTGGAGCTTAAGTATATTATACCTGAATCCCCTACCATTTAAAAGCCCATTTATAAACAGGGACTTGGAGTGTGACTCCACTAATGTGTGTGTCTGTGATGTTGGTTAGAAACTCACTTGGCTGCCTTTCCTCAGAGAGGTGGGGGGTGGGGGAAGGGAGCTGCCGGGAAGTGATTGATAAGGTTTCCTTTATGGATTCTGTGGTGCTTCACTGGAGCTCAGAGCACTTTGGCAACTTAAGCACTCCAAATTAAAAGCTCATTAACAATTCCCGCCCAAAGATCCTGTAAATAATCGGCTAGCTAGGTCATAGAGCTTGGCTGAGAGCTCTCCTCCCAACTTATAATTCCAAATAAAAGTGCTTTTATTCCTTTTCATCTTGAAAAGTGTTTTGTTTGTGGTGGGCTAAGTTGATGAGTGACATTTTCTCAGAGAATCTGAGTAGAATAAAGTCTTAAATGTGTATAGAGTGGTAGACAGGAATAGATTGATTCCAAACCTAGGTGTTTCTCTGTGCAAAGGGCATTTTGCTAGCTTATAAGGGCGCCTCTGCAACTTCTAGTCCTTTGGAAGATCTGAATTAGGTGATAAATAATGATAGGTGTCCATCGATGATTTGATTTGGAATTTGGTTACCTTGATTTTCTAAGAACTTGAGGCAGACCTGGAAGTATCCTGCAAGTGTTTCCTAGTTTTTGTGGGCATTTGCAATATGGCTTGTGTGTTTGTGGCAACCCCTCCTCTAATCCTGGCCCTCAGGGGAAAATTTAGACTAGGTCAGCAAACTTTTCCTGTAAAAGACCTGAGTTCTGAATATTGCCATCCTTACTAGTGTCCTCTCCTTGACTAGACCAGGATTCTGGGATTATCCAGAGAGCATACAACTTTATGGCCTCTTTCTCAGTCCAAGCTTAGATATTGTAAATGTTTAGTGTTCCTAGGAGGTAAGTCTCTTAGGAAGAAAAATATGCTACTACAGAACATAAAATTCCTCATTCCAAAAATATATACTACCAGTAGCTTCTGAAACCTCTATACAGGCACTGTCCTTCCACATAGATGGCTGTTATCCCAAAGTAGTTTGAGTTTAGGAATTTGAAGTATACTGGTGGTCTTTAAATTTTTTCATATAGCAGCCCCATGAGGATTTGATCCTTTGTATTGAAATAGACTTGTTGCAGAGATGTGTATTTATCCACAGCATTGGGGCTTTCCAGCTTTCACAGAACCTTCAGCATCCCCAGCTACCAGCCTTGGCATCTTCGAAGTAAGGAGAGGTGAGAATTCTGCTGCATGGTCAAGTTTGGCTTGACTTCTTCTTTATGAGTGTTTGAGCTTGGAGGGTGAGGGGTCGGGGCGGGTGCAGATTGTATTTGTGTATAGCTTTTTCTAATAAGACACCATATGCTCAAAGACCACTGAAACTTACCCAGAGTTTATATGTGTGAGAGTTGGAGGTAGGGTATCCAGACTCTCAAGTTCTGTCATGATTTCTTTGTGGGCATTTCATAAACACCTTTAGGTTCAGAAAGGTTTAATAAGCTGGACTAGTTCTTTATTCTGAGAAATAAACATCTTTAGACAGTAGGAAGGAACACATTCATTTGACTTTTGTTAATACATTTGACCAAGGCCTTTGGGATCGTGGTTTAATTTGGGTTGTGAGTCACCTTTGGATGGATGGTTAATCCCAGCCTGTCTCCATTTTACACGGATTGGGGCTAGCTAAAAAGGTAGACTCCGATGATTGATATCCAGGATTTCAGAGGCTGTTTCTTTCATAACTAAGGGCCAGACACTTTGCTAGGCCCTGGGATTGTGGTGCTAAATAAGATAGCTACTTCCCCTGACCAAAGAGCTTACAAATTCATGGGGAAGACAGTAAAGTAGCAATTATAATACACTCTGTGAGTGCTATAATAAGGTAAGTGTAGGTGCTTTGGGAGTACTCAGAAGGGTCCCTCACTCAGACCAATGGACTTAGGGAAGGCTACTCAGGAAGTAACCTCTTCATCTGGAATTAGATGAAAACATGAGGGACCAGGCGTGAAGGTCAGAGCTTTATTGAATTTGAGAAACTGAAGTTTAGTGTGATTGAAAGAGTACTCTGTGGGCAAAGGATAGGAAAATGGTGAGAAATGAGACAGGAAAGGTAAACAGAGGCCAGGACCTTAAGGATCTTAGAAGCAGGTGGTGGGTAGGGGAAAAATTAGACTAGGTCAGCAAACTTTTTCTGTAAAAGACCAGTACATATTAAGGCTTTGTGGGTCTCTGTCACAATTATTCGACTCTACTCAACTCTACTGTAACAACATGAAAGCAGACATAGTACGAAAATGAATGACATGGCTGTGTTCCAGTAAAATTTATAAAAACAATGGCAGCTGGATTTGGCCTGTGGGCCAGTTTGCCAGCCCCTGGAGCAGACTCTCATAAGAGCAGTAAGAATTCATGAAAAGGTATTAAGCAGTGGACTGATAATATATGTTTTGGAAAGTTTCTCTGATTTCAGTGTTAAGAATGGGTTGACGGAGACAGTACTGGAGCAGAGAGACCAGTAAGGAGACTGTGGCAGTTACATGGGTAGCATTTTATATTTCCCTCTTTGAGGCAGTATTTTGACACTTAAAGATTGAGTATAACTGAATCTTTGCATATATGTATATACTTGTTCTCTTTACTGATTTCCAGGCCATCTACTGGAGCTTAAAAGATGTCTACCAAAGAATTTGTTGGTGATACCAGCTCCTATTTCACAGACTAGAAAAGATGTAGGAAGGGAAAGTTTGTGTCAAATGATTGAAAAAACTTTGGGAACTCGTTCCTACTTAAAGAAGTAGGAAATACATGGAGCCCGGGTAGAGATCTTGGTCTTAGGGCTTATAGCTCAATGACAATTGCTTTGAACTTCTTGAACTGTACACACAGAGAACCACCCATTTTCCTAAACTTTCCAGGAATTGCCCTCTTTATTGTCCTACTCAGTCTCTCCTTGCTTGTGGCAAAATGATGCCTTTTTTCCTGGTTTTGGGAATGTTGCTTAGGCACAGGGACCAAATGAAGTTGAGTGTCTGATGAATTGTTTCCTCCTCCTACAAGCCCCAGTGTACTTGCATTGCTGAAGGGAAGCCTATAGGTTTCTGATACGGTGTTATGTGACCATGGTTAAGTGACTTACCTCGCTGAATTTAGCTTTCCTACCTGTAAAATGGATAATGGAACTTGGTAGGGTTGGTTAAAGGATTTAATGAGATACTATATGTAAAGCTCTTAGCCCAGTGTATTTAACTTTTGTTACTAATAGTATTGTACACAATAATTTCTTACAAAGCAGCCAGCAATTGGGTGAGTTGGCCTGTGGCTTAGTATGTTTTGGGTCCTCACAATTGTATTTGTGGCCATATGATAGAAACATAGACCCTGGCAGAGGCGAGGCAGTCAGCAGACAGGAGGAAGTTACAACTAAAGCAAGGCACTGCTCTTCATAATGGAACATTTTCAGAGAGCAGGGATCCCATTTAGAATCCCAGAACTTTGTTCAGTGTGGACCTTAGTCCCCATACCATCAGTGAAGCGAACTGAGAGAGCAGCTACCCAAAAGAAATGCACCCAAGTGTGACCAGTCATCTCTCCCCGTCCGTCTGGGTCATTTATTAGTATTGCCACCCTTGTGGCCTCACATCTTTGTAGTGCCTCTCGGATGTCTTTTATTACTTTTCACAACTCTAGGAAGTGGGTCAGGTGGTCAGCATTGTTATCCCTGCTACCCATTGAGGAAACCGAGGCCCAGTAAGGTTAAGTGTGTTGCCCAAGGTCATGCTGTAAGGTATCGTGAGAGCTAGTGCAGATTTGCCTCCAGATGAAATTGTTAGTTTATTGCTGTGATTTCTCTTCCTGAGTCAGAGATGTGTAGCCACTGCAGAAATGTGTTCTGATGCATGCCTTATCCAGATATGCGGGGCTTAATTTGGGGCCCACTTTATCCTCTTGGTCCTGTTGGATTTTAATTGATGGCTGCTAGGAACAGGCCTGTTGAGAAGCAGATTCCCTTTGGGTCATTGTTTTTAGCCCGTCCTCCTTTGGGGACATTCTTGGGGGAGCCTTGGGTTACAAGAGATTGCTTTGATATGTTCAAAATTGTGCCTTGTGCCCCACAGCTACAGGTAAAATCAAAAGGCGGATAATTTATGGGAGTGTCAGAGCTGGCCGCTGGCACCTCAGGAGGCCATTAGTATGCCTGTTCAGACCCTCTGTGTCCTTGCAATTGATTCCTCTTTGCATGAGCTTGATTTGGGAAGCTGTAGATCTGTGGTAGTGATTGGATGTGACAGTCCAAACACTGGTCCCTAAATTAATCCTTTTAATAGTATTCTGGCACCAAGGCAATGTTTCTCCCCTTTCTCTTTAACTGAGAGGACAGAATGGGGTGGCTTAGGAGGAAGAAGGGAGGAAGGGAGGGAGGGGGAGAGAGGAAAAGAAGCTTTGATTGGTACTTAGACCCTGCTCTGCTCTAACATGTTCTGTTTCCAGCCCAGTTGACATTATGACTGTGGGCATATACATTCATTCAGCAAACATTGACTCACACTTGCTTGTGCCTGGCTCTGGACTGGGAATACAGAAATGAGTAAGATGTGGTCCTTGCCCTTAAGGATCTATGTCTAGCTCAGTGTTTCTCATACTTTTTAAACTCATGCAATATTTAGATGGAGAAAACTAATTTTATGCTTTTCTTTAATGCTGCTTGAAATTTTAAAATGCAGCAAAGAGTCTGACCAAAGACAAGTCAAAGAAATTATCATGTCAGATATTATTTTTAAACACAAACACAACTATACCTACTATCTTCCAACCTCACCTTCTCCTGAAAATGGCTGGTAGGAGGAGAAACAGATAACTAAAATCTTACAATCTAGTGAGATAAAAGTTATCGAATGAGGATAAACTGTGCTGTTGGATCAATTAACTTTTGATGGTGTCAGAGAAAGCTCCCCAAAAGGGGAGATTGAGTTGGATTTTGAGGAAGGAGCAATAATTTGCCTGGTGAAAATAGAAGTACGTTTTAAAACAGAGGAAGGAGCATTTGCCAAGGCACAGATTTGTAAAAGAAACATCTAATTTGGGGAACTGAGCAAGAGCTGATTGTCACCTTACCTCCTGCCAGTGTCTCTGCTCTGTGAGATGGGAGGATTTGCTCCCCTGGAATTGTTGTAGAAGAGGCTTTGTGTTCCTTGTGCTGCCGTTGTTTTAATCCAGGGTACCCCTTCCTGTTTCTGGTTTTTGTACCCAGGACTGCAATGTGTTTTTCTTGTTAGAATATATTTAAAAATGGTTACGAAAACAAATTTGGATCAATTGGACAAACTTAATTATTGCTTGTGGTTGAGTTAGTTTGAGTTAAACTCACACCTTATCTCCCCCCAAAAAAACACACCACACTGCAGTGGGTATGCATTGTTATTAGCCTTATGGCTGGCTGATGGGGGAATCAGTCCAGTGGGGAAACATGGGCCGTCAAGCATGGGAGAGGAGAACAGGACCCAAAGTGCCTCCGAGCCTTAGTTTTCTCATGTGTAAAGTGGTAATACTGTTACCCATTTTGCTGGATAGTTGAAAGGATTAAATGGGATGAAATATGTAAATTCCTAATAATGAGCCTGTCTTATAGTAGATTTTCAGAAAATGTTGTTTTCCTTTCCTCTTTATCATGTTAACAGCAATAGCTCCCTTTTATTGAGCACTTACTATTGTGCAAAGCACTTTATATATGTTGTGCGTCTACATCAAACCCTGAAGAGATAAATATTTCTATAGCTGTCATTACAAAGAATATGTATTAGAGTTAGGATTAAAACCTAAGCTTGGCTAATACCAGCCTTTTGACAACTAGCTATATGACTCCTTGTTTCTCTATCAGTTCTCTGTCTCGTAAGTAGAAGGCTTTGGGGTCAGATGCTGTCTACGAGTGTAGGAGGTGCTTAACGGGGTGAGAGTACCATACCCTGCCCTTCCTCCATTTCTATCTTATTTATAATGTGTTAGGAAATAAGCCTTTGCCCCTACTTGTATGCAGTGGGATCAGAATTGACTTGTAGGGTTTTGCAAAGAGATGTTTCTCAGCTTTGGCCCCTCTATGGAATTTGCCAAACTACTGGATGTGGCTGATGGATTGGCAGACAGCAGGCAAATCACAGTCACTTCTTTTTAGTTTTATTTTTGTTTATTTTATTTTTAATACATTTTTATTTATTTTAGGAAGAGAGGGAGAGAGAGATAGAAACATCAATGATGAGAGAGAATCATTGATAGGCTGCCTCCTGCACAGCCCACACTGGGGATTGAGCCTGCAACCTGGCCATGTTCCCTGACCAGGAATGGAACCGTGACCTCCTGGTTTGTAGGTCGATGCTCAACCACTGAGCCACTCCGGCTGAGCACAGTCACTTCTTCTTTGTGCTGCCTTGCCCTGTGGAGACAGGCATGGGGAGAGTGAACCTCCAATGGCCTGTGATGCTGCCACCAGAATTTGAAGTTCCTGGAGGTCTTCAGTGACTTTCGCCCTGCCGATAGTTTGGGATTAGCAACTGCTTCTGACGTTGGGTGAGCTTTCCCTAGCCCTGTGTTGGAGCCAAAGCAGCTGTAGCTACAGCCAAGAAGTGACAGGTTCTAGAGAGGAGAATGTTTTGTTGAATTGAGAACCCAGCTTTAGAGTTCCTTCTTCATTCCATTTTGGGGCCATCAGGAAGTTGTGTAGAGGATCCAGTGCATGTCAAGCTTTGTTGTCTCAGCTTCTACCTTTCAACATATTAGACCTAGCTCTCAGGCCCTTGGCCTCCACTTGGGGGACAGGTGATGAGGCCTTGTGTTGGGGCAGTGGCCCAAGTCCCTGAACTGGGAGTTGGGAGCTCTGGGTTCAATTCCTCTTTCTTGCTTTGTGAACCTTGTGCAATCGTTTCTTTTTCTGGAGCTCGTTTTCACTGGCTGGCTGGACTGTGTCACCTCTTAAGTTTTCTTTCCCCTTTGATAGTCTAATTTTCATCAAAGTGGTCTGACAGTAAGGATGCATTCATTAGATTAAAGTTTATTACTTTTTAAGGCATACAGTTTATTTATATTTTCCCCAGGCTATTTTTAGCTGCCTAAGATAGAGCCTGTGACCGAGTAAGTTCCAGACAGGTATTACTGTATTGTCTGTTGATGCTTTTGTGACTCAGATGCCTGAGCAGTTGTGGTACTACTGGTCAGATTGGGACAGAGGCTTGCTCCAGGTCTGGGAACTGGGGAAACTGCAGCTGACCCAGTTGCTTCCAGTCAGCTGGACTCAGAACCTGCCTCTGGTGCCTTGGAGTTTCTCTGGAATCTTCTGCCACCAGTCTGGCTTTTAATGGAATGGATTGAATCCAGGGGTGTACAAACCTTCCTGCCTCCCTCCATCCCCCACCCTCCATTTCAAGTATATATGGTTGGGGAGATAGGGTGGGAGTAGATCCCGTGTTTCATGATGGGCTTTTCTTCTTTTCCATCCCCCAGGCTCCCCTGGCCTGTGCATGTGGATGTTAAAGGATGGCCCCCCTCCCTTTGCCCTCCCTTCCCCCCTCTAGTAATGGAAGGCTATAAAATGTCTATTTACCCAAGACACCAGAATGACTCCTCTGTGGTTCCACTAATCTGGTGATTTGGTGCTCCTCTGGTCTCTCAGGTAAATACAGATTGAGGCTTTTTATAAAGGCATATTATTTCCCTCATTAAATGTGTGTTTTGGCACATGCGTTATTTACCTGACCGACAGTAATGGCTGCAGAGGAGCCATTGGTGTCTGTTGTGTAAATACTCTGCACAGAGACCATCCTCCAGGGGCTGTGGCTCAGGCCTGTTTCTCCAAATCTGACTAGCCCTGTGGCAGTCCTGTTTACCCCTCCCCTGCCCCTAGGGGGCTGGTCCCTTCATTTTGAGAAGGGAATCATTCGTTTTCCTCCTTGCCATAAGCTACTTACTACTGTTAATTTACTAGGAGAAATAAAAGGGTATCTGAGAATAAATGGTATAAATCTTGGTCTCTGATGAAAGATTGTGTGCAGAAAAACACAGAATCATAAACTGTTTCTTTTGCGTTTTGCCCCTCAACTAGATACTCAAAGTCCCAGTTGATAATATAAGCTCTAGACTTATATTCTGCAAACTTATGACTAAAGTATAAAGACATCAATAGAAAAGAGAAACCCTAGAAGCCAGAGAAAATGAGGGCAGGTGAAGCTCCACTGCACTTAGGGCTCTAATGGTGGCAGGTGTGCCCAGTGAGGGGCACCAACTGGGGGCTCTGATGGAGACTCGCCAGCTCCCCTGCTAGAGGAGAGCATGCAACCTACCTTCTATGGACAGTATGGGGAGATTGCTCCCTTACACACTGTCTGTTCTTGGTTTCTTTTTTAAAACAACATTGCATATGGATTAAAAGATAAATTTTAAAAAGTTTGAAATAGACCAAATTTACATAAAAGTTGGAAATTTAATACGAAGAAATTTTTTGAACCATTTGAGAGTTATGTTGTTGATCTAACGCCCCATCACCCTGAATACTTTGCATGTATTTCCTAATGCAAGGACGTTTTCCCACCTAAACAAAATGCAATCATGAAAACCAGGAAATTGACATTGATAACATTACCTCCATCTAATCCTCAAACCCCATTCAAGTTTTGCCTGTTGTCCCAATAATGTTCTTTGAAGCAAAATGATCCAGTTCAGAATTGTGCATTGCCTTTAGTCATCGAGTCTCTTTAATCTCCTTTAGACTTACCTAAGTAACTATACCTTGACCTTTATGACCTTGATTTTTAAAAAAAAAAATGTATTTTTTATTGATTTCAGAGAGGAAAAGAGAGGGGGAGAGAGATAGAAACATCAGTGATGAGAGAGAATCATCGATTGGCTGCCTCCTACACACCCACACTGGGATCGGGCCTGCAACCTGGACATGTGCCCTGACCGGGAATCGAACCGTGACCTTCTGGTTCGTAGGTCGATGCTCAACCACTGAGCCACGCCAACTGGGCCATGACCTTGATACTTTTGGACATTATAGGCTGTCCTTCAATTAGGGTTTGTCTGATATTTTCTGATGATTATATTTAGGTTATACATCTTTGAATATCACAGAAATAATGTTTTGTTCTTCTCATTGCATCTTATATCTTGTGGTACATGATTTTGATTTATCCCATTATTAATAATGTTCATTTTGTTCAGTGAATTAAGGTGATGTCTGCCAGGCTTCCCCATTGTAAGCTTACTTCCTGTTATAATAAACATTCTGTGGGGAGGTACTTTCAAACTATGTGAATATCCCTTATCAGACTTGAATTTTATTTATTTACTTATATCTTTATGAAGTCATAGTTTCCTTTTTATTTAGCTCATTATAATATATTAATATCATTATTTATTTTGCCAGATCCCCTTGAAGCTGACTTCTGCATCTTTTTGATATGTTACTATCATTGAGAATTTCCTTGCTTTTTGGCATAAGATATTCCAGGTTCATCTTGTCCTTTTCTCTACCATAGCCCTGGAATCAGCCATTTCTCAAAGAGCTCTGGAGAGTATTATTTAGAAGGCAACTGGGTGCTATGTGTACTCATTGTTATTGGAGTGTTGCTGCTCCTTGGCCCTTCAGCAAACAGAGCTAGGAAATATATATGCATGTATTTATATATTTGTATATGTACCTGTGTGTGTATATTCATACTCACATTTGTATCTAGCTTTATTTTTATTATGTATCAGAAATTTATCTTTTCCTTTTTCCATATTTTAATTCTATACTCTAATAGTGAGAAATGGGGTTTCCATTACCCTTAATATATGCCCTTCTTTAATTAATTCCTCTTTATATAAGTAATCTCCCATCATTGCCACTGCTCTTTCCCCCTCTTGGATGCTCTTTTTACCCTGCCCATGACTCACCACATTGGACTCCTCCACCACTCCCCTGTGGATGCCCTCCACACTCCACATGGGCTCTGACATGCTACATCACACCTCCCTGCATCTGTGTGGATGCCCTCCTCACCTACGTGGACTCTCATTCTAACCTCCAGTCCCTTCTGCTTCCCCCATTCCAATTGTTGTTGTCACCTGCCTAAAGCCATTAGATTGAATTTTTCAGTAAGGAAAGAGGAAGAGGTGCCCTCTGTTGCTTGACTTGAGTTGAACTTGGTTTTTAGAAGTAAGGGAAGTATAGAACCCAGTGACTGCTGACATGTGGAGGCCTGGTCTACTAATGTCTGCTTTCAAGACTTCCTACAAGAGACACTATTTGATGTGGGTGAAATCAGGTGAGAAAAGCAAGACCTGCCGGAAAGAGGAACTCTGGCCATTAATATGTTGTCCATGAAAGGGGATGGGCATATATATAGTATGGTATATGAGAGATCTAGAGATCCTAGGATGTAGGAGACATTAATGTTACTCTCTGAGGGTGCGTTATGCATTCATTGGGTTTATAGGCCCAAAGTATGGGGATGTAGGTTTGACCAGGTGGGTATAGCCCAATAAGGTAGTAGTAATAACAGTAAGCTAATATTGATCTATAATTTAGTTGTAATCCAGTTTGGTGCTGGGAGGAGGTGAGTGTAGCTTCCATCTATTCTGCAGCCATCTTGGATTATCCCAATAGTAAGGTAATATTTATTGAGCCCTTATGTGCCAGGCACTGCTCTTAGTGCTTTACCTGTGTCCTCTCATTTCACTCTCACTTAAAGAGTAGGAGCTGTTATTGTCATTTTACAAGTGAGGAACCGAAGAACAGAGTTTGCCCATTGTGCCATGGTAAATAACGGGTAAAGCCAGGATGCAAACCTGAAGCCCTCCTTAATCATGACACTTAATTGCCTCCAGCATCTGGCAGATGAGGTCTGGTTGATTGTACATACACTTTATATACTGTATTTACACACTGGAGAACATTAAGACTTTCAAAAATCCTTATGCATGGCCTGACCTTGAGCGGTTAGAGAAGTATTCTAAGGCCCTGAAGAACTTTAGACCAAACTAGAAAGCATAATGTGAGCAGACTGGTATCTCCTATCTCATCAAGGCTTCAGTACTGTTCAGGAGTGGGTGATATGAAGAGTTATTTTGGATTCCGGCTTTCAAAGGGTTATTGGCCCATTTGCCTTTCCAAGAGATTCCCTAATGAAACTCAAGCCAGCTTTTGTCTACTCTGGGCTGAGTTTTGGCTGCATTTTTGGAGAGGCTGGGAAGCTATGGTGAAAACAAGCACTGTGCATATGCAGGAACCATGAAGAATTTAAAAAAATTTTCGGTCTTAGTTCTATTGAATCTACATGGAATCTCACTATAGGGATAGGAAAATTGAGAATGCACACTAGCATATCTATAATAATAAAAGCGTAATATGCTAATTAGACCGATGACCTTCCGGACGGGGGATTGAGGCAGAGGCAGCCACGGAGGTGGCAGGGGCTGAGACCCTTGTATGAATTTCGTACATTGGGCCACTAGTATCCTAATAAATGTGCAAGCAAATAATTGTAGCTCATTCAGTGAGTTGGGAGAGCCAGGATGAGAAGTGATACTTGGTATTGTCCCATGTCCACTCAGGTAGTAGTGACCTTGTTGCCTCTGAATATGCTCTGGACTTCACTGACTGCTGTCCCCCTCCACTCTATGTGAGGGAGCAAGCGCCCATTTGCAGTCTTTCAGAGACAAGCTTTTGGCTCTGCAAGCATGGGGTTCCAAAAGGCATAAACTATGGCCATTTCTGTATTGGCAGTGAAATTTCTTGTCTGACTTTGAGGGAATTTGAGTATTTGGTATAAAAGAGGGGAAAACACCAAATTTCTGCTTTGTTCCTTTTTTTTTTTTTTTAAGGAAGCTTGAGTTATTTAAAACTTAGGCTTTGATTTTTATATTTCGTTAGCCCTCTAAGGAGCAGACATTCTGCAAATTTAAAGGGAAAACTTGAAAAGTCATTTGGATTTTTTTTTTCTTGCACATGTTCACTCAGAAACTTTACTAGATTTTTAGCAATGCTCCCATTACTGCCACATCTGGGTTTTCTCTTTTTCTTCCCTATTTAAAAAAGTCCTGCAGTCATTCAAGGCCTCTAGTAGAAAGAGTGATTCTAAAGGCAGCAAATGGGAAGGCCTGAGGCTGTTGCCAGCTGTGCTCTGCAGGCGTTTTCATTCTCCCAGGGTGCCACTTACTGGTGTGGGGGCTGGGGAATCAGCAGAATATCATGAGCAAACTCCCCTGTGATTGGCTCTGTTTGCTTTCACGTTGGAGAAGGGAGGAAGGTATGTAGAGATGTCAAGATACAGACAGGAAAGCTAGGGGCAAATGGCTCGGAATGGAACTGAGGAGAGAATATTGGGTGTTCTCAGCTGTCCCTCTGAGTCTACTTAGCTCCCAGGACTGATTGTGCAACTGGGTCCCTTCATGTTACTTTGGGAACCTTAGCTTTAATGTTAGCTGTCACCACCTGAGAAGTGAGCACAGAATTTTTCTCTCCTCTCTTTTGAATGTGAGAGCTCCATGTAAAGATGAAGGCCAATGTTGTTTTGAGAATGATCTGGGAAACTCCAAGCTGTCATAATGCGGCAGGGACCAGTATTAAGGTCTTGAACTTCAGTAATGAATACAGTGATTAAGAAAAGGGGCTCAGAAGCAAACGGGAGTGGTTCATATTGTGTGACTATCCCTGAAGACTAGATGGAACAGGGCCACAGTGGGAGGGGAGTAACCCAGGCTCTCTGTTTTTTTGTTTTTGTTTTTTGTTTTTTAATTTTTCCTCCCCTAAGTTTTAGATGCTTCTGGATGTTCAATGCTAGCACCTTTGCAGACTGGAGCAGCTCGATTTTCTTCATATTTACTTTCAAGAGCAAGAAAAGTGCTGGGCTCCCACTTATTTTCTCCCTGTGGTGTTCCGGAGTTCTGCTCCATATCCACCAGAAAGCTGGCGGCCCACGGCTTTGGCGCATCCATGGCAGCAATGGTGTCCTTCCCTCCCCAGAGGTATCACTACTTTTTAGTGCTGGACTTTGAGGCCACGTGTGACAAGCCACAGATTCAACCTCAGGTAACTTGCATCATTGCTTCAGAAAAGGTGGGGTGGAAAGGAGGGGGCGGGGAGGATAGTCTTGCTTCCTGGGACCCAGAGGAACTTTCTCATGTCTTCTGGCTTTTAGCTACTAATCTGGAGTTCCTGCCTAGGAAGCAGGACATGGTTCAGGCATGCTAGGGTAAGGCAGTCTCTGGAGAAAACCGGGTACATTATTTCTCTCGGTCTCACCCTTTGGGAATCAAAATATTTCCTTTGTCCCACCCTTCCTCTCTCCTTTCCCTCCTCTCCTTTCCTCTTCCATTACTACTGCATGTTCTTGGAGGAATACTGTGGTAGTCAGCCTCCAAGATGGTCCCCAGCAATTCTTGCCTCTTAATATTCATATCCTTGGTTGTTCCCCGCCCACACTGAATCCGCTAGCCCTGTATAACCAATACAATATAGTGGAAGCCACATTCTGTGGCTAACTCATAAAAACCATTGCAGTCCACTTGCTCTTTTGGATCACTTGTTCTCGGAAGCCAGCCACCATGCTATGAGGACATTCAAGCAGCCCTTTGGGTAGGCACGTGTATATAGGAACTAAGGCTCTTAGCTAAAAGCCAGTACCAACTTGCCAGTCATGTTTCTTGGTGCTATCTTGGAAGTGAATCCGACAGCCCCAATCAAGCCTTTAGATAACTCCAGCCCCAGTGGACATCTTACTTCAACCTCAGGAAAGACCGTGAGCCAGACTGGCCAACTGAGCCACTCCTGAATTCCTGGCTTACAGAATTGTGAGAGATAATAAATGATTATTGATGTTTTAAGCCACTAAACTTTGGGATGATTTGTTATGCAGCATTAGATAACCTGAACAAGTACCATTGTTGGTCTGTTGGAAAGGAACATTTTTTTGCTTGTTTTTTTTTTCCTTAACCACTGACTGTATCAAGAGACCTTTTAAGGTAGTCCTACTAGGAAGCTTGGATTAGCAGCAGAGGGGCACCTATGCTATGTGATCTTGGAGTGCTTGGTGTTTGCTTTGGGGGAATGATTGGGAGCTGATAGGAAGTTCATTGTATTGTGGAGACCTTGGGTATGCCTGGCTCTAGGACTGTAATTCCTCCCTCTGAGCCTGGGTTATTAGGTGTATAGTTCTGGGATGCATAGACATGTTCATCCTGGGAATAGTAAGTAGGGGGAAAGGAGGACTGTGGCATCAGGCACTTGGGAGACAGGGAGGAATGGGGTCCATTCAAAGATAAACTGGGTTCATTTCTCATGATTAATACCTCCCTCCCCCCAGGAAGGTGTTCTTTCTTTAGAATAATATATTGTTTTCCATAAAGCAGATATCAGAACCCCTTTTCCTTCCCATTTCTCCTTTTCTTTTTCCTATTCTCCCTTAAAGTAGTGTCTGCCTTTGGCGCATTGGACTCAGACCTGTTTAAGCTTGGGAAGACAGGAGCAGATTGAGGAGCATGTGCTAAGGGAAGGAACTTTGTACAAAAGGAAATATAGCTGGGAAGCTACCTGAGCCACATTCACTTTCCCAGTCCATGCTCTAGGGTCTTCTCCTCTGCCTCCCAGAACTACTGGTGATTCTGGCGTTGGTGTGCCTGGATGGTGTGTGGGGATTTTGGTTATGTAGATTCTCTTAGGCTAGAATCAGGGATCCATATTCTAATATACCATATTATGTCCCTTACTGGTATAGAGTCTGAAACCCAACACATCCCTATTGCATGTGAGTTTATCCCTCATGATTGCTTGGTACCTCCCTTATGGCCTTTACTGCTTTCTACCTCCTGGCACATGCCAATGAATGTTTGTTTCTGAACTTTTCAGTTAGATTATAAGCTCGGATAATTATGTAGCTCTGTTCCCTTGTTCTACAGAGGGTCCTACCAATGTTGATGAAAGTGAAGCCTGATTCATGTCTCAGTTTGGTCTGTCAGTATCACCTTTCATCTCTCTTTCAAGGGCACTGTTCTTTTTATTTTTAGTTCTTTTTATTCATTTATTGCAATGCTGAAGACATAATGCAGTACACATTTAAATCACCTGTATCACCAGCTTCCTTCCTAGACTTAGGTACCAAGGCCTTTCAGATCTAGGCTGAGCTAGGGCTTCATGCTGTTTACCAGGATCTGGGCCTGATTAAAGATTATCTACAGAATCAATGAACCCTGATGATGTGATTCCAAGGGCACTTAAGGAATTGGCTGCCCTGCTTCATTATTAGCAAAGCATTAGCTGTTGCTTTAGAGAACTCAGGAAGAAGCATTTGCTGTCTTGCTTATCTTTAAAAGGGGAATACGAATGATCTTGGAAATTATAGACCCGTTAGTTTACTGTGATTCCAGAGAAGATACTTGACCTGATCGTCAGATAATCAATCAACAAACAGCTAGAAGAGCAGAGGGTACTGAGTAATAACTTACATGGGTTTGTGAAAAAGAGCAAATCCTGTCAGATCAATCTAACTTCTTGCCGTGACATAGTGATGGATTTGAGTGGATCTAGGGCAAGTGATAAATGTAATGCATCTCTACTTCATTAAGCTTTACAATGCTGTGATCAACAGGTAGGAAAGTGAGTTTGGGGCCAGGCAGCTCTGCTGGACTACCCATTGAACCAGTCTCAGGAAAGGGATGGGCAGCTCAGGAAAGACTTGAGACTTATTGTTAACTAGAGGCCCGGTGCACTACATTTGTGCACTGGTGGTGGGGTGAGGGGGGTTGTCCCTCAGCCCAGCCTGCGCCCTTTCACAGTCTGGGAGCCCACAGGGAGCGGGCCTAAGCTGCAGTCAGACATCCTTAGCACTGCCATGGAGAAGGCGGGAAAGGCTCCTGTCCCCACCGCTGTGCTCGCCAACCATCAGCCCAGCTTGTGGCTGAGTGGCGCTCCCCCTGTGGGAGCACACTGACCACCAGGGGACAGCTCCTGCGTTGACCGTCTGCCCCCTGGTGGTCAGTGCGCGTCATACCGACCAGTCGTTCCGCTGTTTGGTCGATTTGCATATTACCCTTTTATTATATAGGATGGCAACTTACAGCCCCCATCTTACTCTAAAAAACAAAAAAAAAATCTTCCCTAAAGTTTGCAGGAAACAAGATTCTGAAAGGATTCAGAGAAGTTTAGAAGATGGACTGGAGAAGCTGTCAGTCCCTGATATGACAGCATCCTTCCACTGAGGTCATCGTAGGTCAGGTTCTCATTAGAGCCTCTGTGGCATTTTGGTCTACTGGTCAAGAAGGGCAGTGGAGAAATTGGTAAAGCTCAGGATAAGAGGAACAAAAATCATCACAGGCACAAAGATAAGACTTAGGAAGAAAAGAAATTGAATACGGTTTTAGTGACTGATTTCTTGTTCAGACTAAATAAATTCATCATGTGGGAATTAATTGTTCCAAGGAGGATGATAACAACTTGCTCCTCATTTTAATAAGGACAAAAAAAGAGAAATGATTTAAATGGAAGCAGAGCCCTGACTGGTTTGGCTCAGTGGATAGAGCATAGGCCTGCGGATTGGAAGGTCCCAGGTTCGATTCTGGTCAAGGTACTTGGTTGCGGGCACATCCCCAGTAGGAGGTGTGCTGGAGGCAGCTGATCAATGTTTCTCTCTCATTGATGAGAGAGAACTATCTCTAACTATCTCTCTCCCTTCTTCTCTGTAAAAAATCAATAAAATATATTTTAAAAAAAATAAATGGAAGCAGAAAGATTGAGACTTGGGATGAGAATGCACTTCTAGTAGAGACAGTAAAAGCACTAGGAAATGGTGTGCCAGTTAGAACAGCCTTCTCTAGTGCTCTCTCAGAATGGCTTGATGGCTGTCCACTTGACAGAGAGACTTTATGGGCAGGTCTGCATGCCTCCTGGAATGGGCTTGGGACTGAATCAGAACCCACCCAGCTCCCCTCCTTCCTGGCTCCCACGAGCTTTCAATGCTTAAGGCTTCTGCATAGTACACTTCTGATTCTTATGGGAGTGTGTGTCATAAACAAATTTTGGGCCAGAGCCTATCTGGAGGCTTGGCATTGGGTTCATTCTCTCATCTGTCTCTGGTTTTCAGAAGTCTCTGAATCAGCTTATTGGGACTATCCTAAAGGAATGCCACTATGAAAAATTAACAGTTGTAAACTCTGTTGTACTTGGGTGAGTAACAATATTATTTATAAACATAGTAAAGCATGTTTTTCCATTTGTCATCATTTTTGTTGTTTATTTTTGTACTTTGTTCAGTTTGGTGAAACTGGAGTGGTCAGTTTGCCAGTAATAGGCTTTCACTTTCTGTTTTTTCCCCACTCATTTTGTTTTACATGCTTTCATTCAGATTAACATAATAGGTGTTGGTTGAATATGAGACTTTTTCTATTTGAAGACATTTTTTCACTTTATTTTTAATTCAGATGGTTTAAAATGCTACATAGACTCTAAATTTGAGGAACACTATTACTTTCTTGCTTTAAGAATTGTTTCTTGATATGGAAGTAGGTTTGGGAGAATCGTGGTCTCTTTATTCTGCTTGCAGAGGTTCATGTTGCTCATTTTGGTGTGGATGTGCATGGAATGGTGGTGATTGTGACTCCCAGGCCCAGGGAGCAGCCTGAACGCTTTGGTGGGATTTTAAATTGTGCATCTTTAACTTGAGGCCACTTCTCTCACCACCTTGGTGTTCAGAAAAGACAAAGCAAATGTAAGTGAGGAAAACGAGGTATAGTCCACCGCAAGAGGAGAGGAGGAAGTAACCTGAGCTGTCCTGATGGCCAGGGATGGGGCAGCCCAGCTCTCCTGCTCTGGGGATCAGACGTCCTGGCTGCTGTCTACCCTCCTTCCCTGAGTTCCGTCTGGCCATCCAACAGCCTCCTGGGTGTAGTTTTTTTCTCACTGCTCTTTAGCAGCCTTGCTGACTGTTGTCCTTCTCATCTGTATTCAAGTGCCTGTAACTTTGGAGAAAGATGACCTTTGGGGTTAGGGTTTTTCTAGTGTTTGGTCTTTGTCCACAGGGGCTTTTTTTTTTTTTTTTT